CCCTACAGATCTGATCTCTTCTGATCTCTTGGAACCAGGCTAGGACCTGATTCTTCTAAATTGGAGGCAAAAGATAGCAGACAGCCACAGATGCAATCTATAAACCCAGAACAGCATATAGCATAGCTATTTCCATCTTAGGCCTTTATCACTTCATCTTCTATATAAAATACTCCCAGTATTCATTCATCTGAACCCAGAACAGCATATAGCATAGCTATTTCCATCTTAGGCCTTTATCACTTCATCTTCTATATAAAAATACTCCCAGTATTCATCTGCATACAAGCATCGAATATTTCTGAAACCATTAATATACTAAAAATTAGAGTCAGCTCTCTGGAATCAAAGAGGAATAGTGTATTACAATACCCAGGCTAATGGAAAAAAGTAAGCAGAATGGATACTGAGGAAGAGAATCAGGATAGATATCACTCTATTTTTTTCAAAAGGGGCCAGCTAAGACCTAGCAGGGCTGGTACCAAACAGAAGCTACAAAGCCCAGGCAAACAAGTCTAATGTTTATACAGCTCAGTGGTCCGTGGGCTCGGTAATGTGTTAAAGCAGAGCAAGACGCAGGGATGCTTGCCCTAGATCTGGATGCAGGCAAGTCAGGTCCAGCCCAATTATTACTGTACACCACCTGAAAGCAACTACAGTGCTTCCCAGCCCTCTGGCAGAGGAAGCAATACCGATACACCCATGGGCCTGGGCCTGGACCTCAACTGTCCAATGCAGAGCCACTACACATATCTCTATGCTGGCTTTACAATCTACCTACAATGCCAATAAAAGACCCATGGATACCTCATAGCTATTTGCATTCAGCAAAAGCTTTCTAGGAACTCCATAAGGCAGTAGCTAAATGAATATCCCATCCTGGCTATTTGCATTAAAAACAAATTACTTCTAAGAATGGTTACTTCTCTGAAATTGATAAAATGTAAATTATTTCAGGAGAGAAGATACAGAATATAGTGTAACACTTCTGAAAAGAAAATAACAAGCAATATGAGATAAAGAAAAAAAAGTCCTCTGTTAACATCTCTTCTAATAATTAAAAAAAAAATTATGGGATACATTTCAATAGTCTAAGGCACCTAATGCATTCTTGAAACATTCATTGAGTCCACCAGTGGTTCTGGGATTTAGGTGATGTTGTAAACGCCCCCATTTACAAAGAATGAAATAGAAGCACACAACAATTAAACACCTGACACAAAGCCATTGCAGTCACTGGAAAAGAATTCAGAGGGCACTGGATGAGAGCCTAAGTGATTGCTCAAAGTTGTAAGGAAGTCCATGGCATAGCTTTCAACAGATCTTTTGTTCCCAGGCTATTGCAATATTCACTCCTTTTCTAATTCAAGTGGAATTGGCTGCGATTAACATAGAGTGTTTAATGACCCCAACAGGCCTCTGCATCAGTCCCATCTCATTTGACATTTACAGGGGCTCAGTCCTGCAGAATACACATAAGAACATTAGCCTTCAGTTTAGTGTGAGCTGCTAAAAATCCGCTATTTCCCATCTTGTTTTCCATGGTAGATTCCCACCAATGTTATGTTTAATGTAAGGAATTTGCCAAGGTCATAAAGCAACAGGGAGCATTTATTCAGGAACTGTAAGCATGTCTCAGGCTTCAGAGTGCTATTTTCACTGTACAACTTACTATAGTATTATGTGCTAACGCTTCTAGTACTGACCAGAAACAAATACAAATCCATCAAAAATCTGTACAGCAAGTCGGGACCGGGCCATATTTATTTAATATGGTTTCTAGAAGAGTTGCTGAAGGAAGTCCCCAGAGCTGCTACTGCCTGCTCAGGTCTACAGACTCCTTCTGGGAGAGCAGATCCGTGGTGCTCCACAGAGACCCCTGATGCACCCAGCAGCCCAGGCCACTGCAAGGCTGCTGCCCACCACCTGCAGAGGAGACAGAGCTGATCTGGCTCCCAGACCACCAGAAGATGTCCAGCATTGCATTCTGGTGCACCAGCACGCAGCTGCTTCTGATTTCATCAAAAGCAGGGAATTTTCTTAATAAAGTAAGAATTTCTCTATCCCTATGTACATACAGAATTAATGCCATCAATACAGACTACGAGAAAAACTAAGAAAAATGAATTCAAAAAATACTAAATTACAAGAAAGACTATGCTTCTAACGGTATGCAAAATGGCTTATACATGTGAGAAAAGACAAACCCTCACTGCAAGGAAGAGTTTTTAGAATTGCTGTCTTTCTTCATGAATGAGAGTATATGGGTTTATTTAACCTGGTCAGATAACTTTAACAAACACCTCATCACATCTGTTCCCTTTCAGATTGTGTTTTAGCAGTGTATTATTTGCATCAAGCATGCAGAATTTTGAACCTGGAAAAGCCTCCTTTTCCTTTAATATCACACTCCCTCGAGAGTATACCTTTATGTAAAATTCAATTCCTTCACTATATATTTTTTTTAAAAAGCACCCTGACAATCTGACAGGTAAAACCTTCAGAAAATAATTCTTCAGTGACAATGTTCCCAAAAGGAATCCAACTTCAACTAAAATTTGAATAATGTGAGCAGGAAGGAGCTGGAAATGTACATTAATGAATAATTGTTCAATTCAAGTGACAGGGATCGTCCTCCACTAGAAATGACAATTGCACTGGAATGATAAAACTGCAAAGCAGACTCTAAAATAATGGGACTCTCCAGCCAAGGTCAGCATGCAGGACGCACTTTTAACTCTAAATACTAAAAAGTCTTCAATCCATTTTCCTACCCAGCATCCTTCATGTAACACATCAATATGACCTCTCTCTTCTGTCTTTTTAATTCAAAGCCTTTGTATGAGTAGTCATGAACCATGAAAAGAGGCCTGATTTGCAGTGATAATGAGGAAAATCCCAATTCCCACTGAAATCTAGATGAAATCATTCTGATATTTAAGAGACAGCGAAACTGCTTAACACCAGAGCAGGCTGGAAGATAAAAATTTCTATTTGCAAAAATATTCAAAGGTTTTCTCTTATATGAGTCACCTGCTTAGAAGATCATGTTCATTCCCCTGCTCTAGCCAATTTGGGGTCCTTGTCACTTGGCTACACTCAATTCAAGCTGACCAAATAAATGCGTTTTCAAGGGAATCCCCACTCCAGAACTGCCAATTTCTGGTTGATGAGGGCAGTCAGCAACAGGGGAGGTAATCAAGTTTCTGCCCTGAGCCATGCAGAGAAATTACCGAGATTTTTTTTCTACCAGCTCAACATGTCTGAATTTAAGAAGCTGGGCTTGAGACAGCTTACAGGGAGCTTGAGCTTTGTGCTCCTTTAAAATATTTTTATTGGACATTTATTTGAAAGAATGTGTTTTTAAGATCTAATATGAGAGAAGGAAAGTACTTATAGAAGAAAGTTTTGTCTTTGACATCAAAGAGAATAAATCCTAGTACTGGCAGAGCAATAGCTCTCCACAGTATAAGTATCAGGCTTGAGGAATCATCATTCTAGGGAAAATGAAAGAATTTAACCCAAATTTTCTATCCAGGCCAGCTCTTGCAGATTTGCTAAGGCATGAGGGGTCACAAGCCTCCAGACCTCTCACTGACACCTTTTTCCTGTATTTTGGTCTCTCACTGTGGCACAAATAACTATAGTTTAATTGTAGCTACTCTAAAGTGGCAACATTTAGAGCGCAACTGTATCAGCACAGAGGGTATGATAACATCCAATAGTCAGGTGAAAGAGGAGACATACAGGAAGCAAAACTCTTAAAAGGCATATTCTGAAAAAGGAATAATGTGAGACCACAGAGCTCTGGCAAACATGCAGTAGCAAACTAAAAATCAGATGACAGAAGCTACCACATTTCTATGTATCCTCTCTATCCATCTGATAGGTGATCCTGACACAGCACAAGAGCATCTGATCTGCTAGTCAACCAGCTCCACAGCATGCCTGCTGCCAAATTTGTGCCAAACCTCCAAAGGTGAGAGAAGACTCAAAAAAAAACCCACCACAACCAAAACCCAACCAAACCGTCATGTGCCCCCTCCAAAAAAGCTATTTGCCCAGGTAATACAGCAAGTTAGAGTCAGCAAGCTAGTGCATAAGAACCACAATATGCCAAAAACTCCAAGTCAAGTGCCTTCATTTATCTATCCACACTGACTTTCTCAGATGAAAAGCCCATCTCCACAAAGCTTGTCAACCCTGAAAAGAAAGTTGGATCATTTGTACGGTGGTTTGGGGGTAAACAGTGTCATTCTAAGCCAGCCACTTACAAAACAGTCAGCTAAAGTTGCAAACAGCTGTATACACACACTTACAAATTGCACATGTCAATCCTGGGAGGAGACAACGGCAGTAGTTGGAGTAGGAGCTTTACCCCATTCTTCCATCCTTCCTCTTTCTCAAATTCACAGAAAAGGTAGGTACATTCATCTGCTGAGAACTGGTAGAAAGCATGAGTGTCTTGAAAATAGAGTTGTCTGTCCACTGTTAGAAAAAATAACATTAGATAGCCTTTAAACATTTACCATGTAAAGGTTCTGTATCCCTACCACATTCTGTATTGCACTTGACTTTAATGACCACCACACAGGGCAAAAGGACCGCAACTCAGTGCATCCAAACAGGATGAGCCCAAAACTTCAATTTGAAGATCTCCAGGTTCCTGAAATTCAAGCATTAAGGTTGCTGAGTATTTCATCAATTTTGAAATCAGTTTAGAATTAGGAGATAAAAACCCTCCACTTGTCAGATTTCTGAGCCTTGATTTCCATTGGCTTCTAGTCTGTTCTCACTAATGGCCAGGCACTAGTAAACAAAGTTCAATAGTATGGATGCAGCCCATCATTATCCCAGCTTTTTCTCAAATTCAGGACTACTGGATTTGTATACTAGACGTGGGTAAGATGATGCACCAGTACAACAGCTGTCATCTTCCCTGGCAAAATCGGGATTGAACTGGAATCGAAGGATGGGGTCCAAAGCCAAAAGCACAAGCTCCTGCTGGGAGACACATTCAACCCTTGTTGAAACTGCGTGATCAGACATACTGTCAGTATGTCTGTTGGAGCAGTAGAAAACCTTTAAGTATACTGGTAGCATACATAAGCAGAAATCTTCCATAATACCTCAGCTTTTCACCAGGAGGAAAGTTGAGCGCCTAGCACAGACCCCAGGGCAGGGTATGCTCCAAGTTGAGCTACCTAAGTAGTCTCAGCTACAAAGTGAAGTCCATCAGATTTCCAGAGACTGGTTAGTGGTGAAGTTATCACCAACCACATTAGCTGGACCAAACCTCTAAATTTGGTGGGAAAGGTGGGGACAGCCAGGTAGAACCTGGCATCACCACCATCTCAAGGAGCTGAATCCTCTCTCAATCCATTGTAGTGTAAAACTACGAAAATCAGAGAGAGGAAGGGAAAATCACTAATAGCTAGAGAAGTCATCTAGAGAAGCCATGATCTGCAGTGACTAAACAGCTGCTGTCTTGTGAAAAACCTAAAAGAACTTGAAGAGATAAAAAAAAAAAAAACAGGCTGGAAAAGACACGCACACTGTCTGCAACTTGGTAATAGGCAACTACATTTGCAAAAGCAAAAGGAAGGAAATTTCCTTAAAAAAGAGATTCATCTTTGATATTTATGAAATGAAAGGTCACAGAGGTGAGCCTACCAAAGAGATAGTAAAATAAACAACTGTGAAGAAAAATGGAACAATCTGCATTTTTTTTCTTTCCCTCCTTCCTCTCTGATGAAAAACATGTCTTACCCTATGCAGGAGAAACTGATAGCCTTCCCCACACTAGAAGTACCATCAAGACTGACCTGACAATATAATGCCCATATCCAGGAGGAGCTGCCACACTCCAGCTGCTGTAGATCTGCACTTAACAAAAGGGCACTGCTCCAAAAGCCAGTCTACCAGTTCCGATCCAACACAGCTTCTCCTGAAAATAAGCAAAACATCACTTCTTACACTACAGTAATGTTAAAATGCTCTTTTATAATAGAGAGCTACTTTTTAAAGCTATTAAAAGTGAATTCTTTTGT